TTCTTGCGTATGTAACTTAGCAAACTGGCCATAGGCTCATTAAAAACATGTAAAATATTAATTAGTGCATATTTCTTACTGTTCTTACAGCAGAAAAATTTATGTACTTTCCTTCTTCTATGTATATTTAATATTTTCGTTCCAAAATTTTTCCAATGAAACTTTTGTATAATACAAAAAATAAGCTTTATTTTGTACTTGTCTGTTGACAAATTTATCAAAAAGCGTAAAACCACGTCCCTCGAATTATGCACAGTCTAATACTACAAAAGCACCTTATATTCTTTTAAATCTTGTTTAAGCCATATTATGATATTTTAAGTAAGCACGGGATTTTGAAACGAAATTAATGATACTAACGTACTGCTGTTTTGAAGTAAATTTTCTCGGATAAAATAAACGTGGGGAGACGATACTCTAAACATCTTGAAAACATTTTTAGGAATCATCTCGAGAAAATCGTTTACAATTAACTTGAGTATAAGTCATTTCGCTGATATTAAAGAGTTTTGCTGTATGTACATTTCTTCCTTTTATTTACATTTCTCGTTTAAAAGTATTTGAGTAGAGTATTTAAATTCGATTTTTCGTAAGCTTTTTTCAAATAAGTGTTTAATATTTGATCTTTAAAGTACTTTTTAATAAGTTTATTCCGGCAGTTTCTGAAATTTGAATTTACTCTTCCAAATAAAAAGTTTGTTATTTCGTTATATTAGGTCTGAGCGGGCTCCAATATCGCTTTAATTTAGTTAATTGGTCAATAATTCTACGTTAAAATGAACTTTTGTCATTCTTAATAATAATAATAATAATAGTGACAACTGAACAAGAATCAATTATAGTAAACAGACTTCGTCCGCCCCGTTACCGCTCTCCACGCAAGGAGTGGGATTTTATGACGTTCTGCGAAATATGAATTCTTTCAACTATTCAGTTTTGTATCTTTGACGCGTTTAATTTCTCTTCTTTTTATCAACGAACCTTAAATTAAGTATAAAAGCGCTGAATGGGTCTTTCCAACCGCGATTTGGCAGCCCCTCATATAGACGATCATCCAGATATACTTTCATTGAGCTTCTATACCTCCCTTAAATAATGATCCGTATCTTTGGATCTCATCTTTTTTTATTTAATAATTCACCCAATGGGATCAGCAATAATACTTTTTAAAGCAAAGCTGTTTCAAGTGAAAGTGATTTTGAAGTTGTCACATCTTTTAAACTTGACGAAAATGAAATTTACGTTTGAGAGAAAGCGGAAGAAATTATTCGTGCAATTGCTGGAGCCTGGGTTATCTCATTCAGAATCGGTTTTATAAGTTAAAATGAGCGATGAGTTTAAAACGGTCATCTTATGACTATTCTTTCAATGAATACATTTCCTTTTTTACTGTGCAGTTAGAGCGACGGCGTTTATTAAATGATCTGAAAATGGGAAAAAATAAGCAATCTGTTTGTTGGTGACAGGTAAGTTCTTGACCGATTGTTGTGGAATTTTGTGTGTACTTTAAAACTATAAACAACGTGTAGACATCATACGACAAGTTCGAACGCGTCGTAAGCGAGTTTGTTTTACGAAGTTTTTGATTCTTTAAACGGTAAGGTCATCAGGGATTGAAGGGACTGCTGTAATCGATAATAATTAGCAAGCGGTAACAAGTCGCTCTAACTAGATACATAAGCAATAACATTGTTTTATTAGCTCCACTGTGTTTGTTATTAATATGCTAAAATTTAGGCTAGAACCCACTTATCCACAACTAACCGCGCCAGAAGCAAAGTTGGCTTCTCAAAGACAGCGTTGTTCCCTCTCCAGGCAAAGTAATGTTTATCGTGATTTGGAACAAAGACGGGGTGATTTCGGGAGAATTATAAGGTAACAGGAAGCACAATAGTCAGGGTTACTCTAGTCTATTGTGGGATTATTTAAAAGCAGTGATTAGAATCAACTTGTGTGGACCCCTCAAAAGGTTTTGTTGTGGTAGAAGTCCCAAACTTTAAGATAAACAGATAAAATTATTAATAAATCAAGCTTTAGAATGATGAAAAGTTGACGAAAGATAGTGGAAAGAAAAGGAAGTACGGTATTTTAGAAAATTGTTTTCATAAGAGCGGGTTTATATGTTTTGATTTCTCGTGCAATTTTCTTTACTGTTTATTATCAATAGAGCGGAGAAGATTTTTTACTGAAGCGTTTATTTTTGATGGTGTTGTTGTTTTATGTATGCGTTCACGAAAGTATTAAAAAGCCACGGTGACATCATAAACTTCTCACTGATTTATTACGAAGGCTTCGCTTTTTTTCGTCTACATGAACAGTGGCTTTGACTTGGCTGTCCTTAATTTATGACGTTTCGAGAAGTTTTTAATCATGCGACTGCTTCTGGGGTATGGAGAACGACAATAGAGGCTTTCTCAAATCAATAAAGCCACCAAACATTTCTTACTCGTAATATCCAAACAATGTCGTGTTTCGGCTCTTGAAGCTGCGTTAATTGGTCAGGTTGGAAAGGAAGATTATGATGCTTGCAGAAACGACGAGAACGCATGAGTACAGTGGAACAGTGATAAGTTTCCAATTCCATTGTTGCGGCGTCGAGATTTTGCATGCCTCTCTCCGAAGTCTCGGAATGATCCCTAGTGGCGTCGAACAAGTCCGGATCTATTTCGAACGCGTTTACTTGGAACGCGACAAATCAATTCAAAATCATTAGATCAGAGCGCCGCTCGCATGAATTGTTACATAAAATCGACAGGAATTTTTCATTAAAGAACTTATCAAGACGTAAACTTAAACGCGGTGTCCAACGGGGAAAATATATAATGGAAACTAAGCAGCATTTAATACATGATCTGGCTACACCAAGTCAAAATTTCAATGGGTCTGCATTATTGATTCATTAGACAAATCTATCTTAGAGTATCTGTCTTCAGTAAGATTGTTGGTAAATAAATATTCACATAGTGAGGTGTCTTTTTTAATTTACTGTAAACTAAAACTCTATGGTGAATATTAAGTAAGATTAATATAATTTTTAGGCAGAAAAAGTCAAGTGGAGTGGTTCAGTAATGTTGAGTGAGAGATTTCACGATTTTAATATTGAAAATTTCACAGAAGCTCTTTTGTGGGCGTAAATAAGAAAGACCGGGAAGGGTATATATTAGAAAAGAGTGGGGAAGCAGGTATTCTGTTAATGATGTCTGTGGGCGATATCCGGGCCCAGCAGCAGCGCGGACCGTCAAACTCGAAATACCGGTTATACCGGTTTGGCGGCATTAACGAAGGGCTAGTTGCGTAGTTTGGGGCACGCCAACCATTCATTTCCGCGCTATTGGGGTTCCCATTTTAGGCGGCAGCTCGTCTGTCGCTCCGTTCATCCCTCGTTGGCCGGTAATCGAACACACAATTGGCCCCGTATGTCACTTCATCGCACAGAATACAAAGCAGGCATCGACCGAGCAAATCTCTGATGTTCTTTGTTTCAAAGTGTTTTTGTTAGAAGTATTTATCCCTTGTTTATTTTCCGCGTTTGTTGCTCCTACATCCCAGACCCAGGCCCAGACTCCCACTACATCACCAAAAAATCCGACGTTGTTTACCCTAACTGTTACCTGTTTAATTCATAAAGTAATCCCTAAATTTCCGCTGTTCCGTTGTGATTGAGAATTTAATCATGCATTTAATGACAATACCACGGCTACTAAATATCGAGGACAACTTCCGCCATCGGTTTATACCGGTTCACATTTCCCGTGTGTTTTAAATATGTACAATTCAAACGAGCCGAACACATTTACATTTTCAAGCTCAAACATTTCCTATAACCGCAAAATTTCTCCCACCCGAGTAAAACTGTTCTGTTCATTATTGTTCGCAAACACCCCCACAACCAATTCCGCAACTACACTTCACTAGAGATAAGAATACACAAATTTCCATACACGTTCCATCAGCTCTAATAGTTCGCTGCATTCATCTACTTCGTAGACAAAGTCACGTACTCTATTCGCTTAATGAAATAATGGTTCCCACGAAAATACAACTAAAACTAATAATCGTTCAAAATAAACCCACGTCCAAGCCATGTCAACAAAAACAATTTGCAGCTACCCTAGCTACCTGACCCGAAGAGTAGGCATGAATTAAGCATAAATGTAAAAGTACTTAGAAAGATGTGTGAAGATCGTAAAGTTACATTTATTGCTGCGTAAATTTTACCAGGATGTATTTTTACATCATTCAGGGTACCAGTATTTTTCACATAACACATATATTATTTATAATTTGTGTGACATTAAAGACGAACCTTGGAGTATAAAAAGAAACGGTAGGCACGAATCTCCGATCTTAAAACTCTTTCCGAATCCAGTTATTGATGCTGCTCCGGGCTATATTTTCATCTATAATAAATAGCTAATATTAAGTCATCTCGAGAGCATTTCCGATCACTGATGTATCTAGAACTTTACCCATCAGGCAAATCATCTCAAATCTACAATTAATTAAGGTAAACTAGACGCATGTCCAATACAATTGGACAATGCTATAGATTAAAGCTCTGATTGAGTTATTTGTGACGTCGTAAACAGGCCCTGTGTAGTTTTCGCACGCCTTTGCTACCCACGCTTATTTGAATAGTACGCTTTCAATGTTGTATCATCCGAGAGACAATGATAATAAAACGAGCATATGATCAAATTTGGAGATGAGCAATCCTCTTTCATCGTCACCGTATAGTCGCAACCGCAGTTATTGCCAATAGATAAAAGAAAAAAAAAAGTTGCGTAAATTTGTGGAGCCTGGTCACGGCCAACAACATATAGACTCTCGAACCGCACTTTAAAGAAAGAGCTTCGTGTTCAGCCAAGTAAAATGAGCATTGTCCACTACATCGACAACTCGACACTTATTTCTTACCGACATATAATGAAGAGCGCAACCCCGATTTTGGTTCGCGTGCGTCATATTCTCGCAGTTTCATGCTTTAGCTACATACTCACTGGAGGTATCTTGCTTCGGCTGCGTGGAGGCGGTGGTGGTGGCGGTGGTGGGCTGTTGGACCGTCTGTACCGGCGTGCTGGGCTGCGTCAGCAATGGCTGCAGGGTGAGCAGGGTCGGAGCATTTACAGGAGCGGTGCTCCCCGGCGAGGCTGCCCACCCACCTTTCATGTCCTGTAAACAACCACCGCACATTAATCAAGTGCACTTTACAGCCAGCTCACCGCAAAAGCGTGCCCCGGCGGTGTGGCAGCAGCGCTGGAGGTGGCGCACCGGTGTTAACCGGACGACCACTTCCTCATGCATTCCGAGGTCCGATGCACCCCTAACCAGGACACTCGAATTAGAACTAGACTCTATGCATTTCAAAACACGCTTCCGTATTTAGAGGTGTAAACTCTAAGAGCGAACAAATTACTTTTATCGATTTTTATTTAAAGGGTAGCACTGTAAGTACTATACAACGAATACACAAATTTAGTGTCAACGCTTACTTCAAGTTGTGCGGTGTCTCTGCCTGCGTCAAACATGTTTATTATTACTTACAATATTCCCGACGGCGCCAACCTAGTTAACGAAAGGTGTAGTAAAAAATAGATTGTTAAGTCAACACGCATCACGTTTTAGGTTGTTAAATACCTAGAAGGTTTTTTATATACATGAATTACGAGACTGGTGAAGCTGTCACAAAGTGGAGCAAACAAAACTTAAAACGAACTCAAATAATTACTAGTCCTAAATTTATAAGATGCTAAACTAAGTAATAATCCAAAACGGAATTCAAAATGAAGGGACTCGAAACGAAACCCACTTCTGCGATCGTTTGTTTAGGAGGTTAATGGACCCCTAATTAATATGTATTAAAAAATATTTTTAACGCTGATCGTCGTCGTCCGTTGTTTTCCACGTTTCGTGACCCCTACAGTACAAAAAAGTAGGTCTTCCGTTTCCGTTTGTTTGTCATCTGTGCGGATATTTATTAGACAACAAACGTTAACAAATTTCTCTGATAGTCCACATACAATTTTGCATGAGAAATGCTACTTAAATTTTATAATAAATGCAATTTTATATTTGTATTTGTGGTTTATGAATCCGCGTTAGTTTTTTACCCACACTTTCGCAAACAAAATCAAAAGTCTAACCTAGACACCGAATGCCCTAAAATCCTACAAACGTTTTGAGGTTATCCTATGCCTAGTAAATTGTTCATAAATTTATTTTTTATCCCTCCAAAAACTAGATGATGTCATCTCAAAATTGCCTACTTTACACATTTTATGTAGAATGCACCAAAATTTTGTTGTTGTTTTTAAACAAAATAAATAAAAAAGATATCTAAATCGTTTATTAAAATTAATTTTTTTATACCTCAGAAAACTTGATGACGTCATCTCAAAATTTTGCTGTATCAGTAATCTAAAAAATTGTTCGAAGGTTTCGACAGAACTTCCTTCTCCCTCATTGCTGAAATAACAGGTGCCAGCCAATTGGAAACTCACTCGGAGTAGGCACTGGAATTTCATATGACACAGAGAGAGTGATAAGCGGGAGAATGAGAGAGAGTGATAAATGAGAGAATGAAAGATATAGTGATAAATGGGAGAATAAGAGAGAGTGATAAACGGGAAAATGAGAGAGAGTGATAAACGGGAGAATGAGAGGGAGTGATAAACAAGAGAATGAAAGAGAGAGTGATAAACGGGAGAATCAGAGAGAAAGTGATAAATGGGAGAATGAGAGAGAAAGTGATAAATGGGAGAATGAGAGAAACTGATAAACGGGAGAATGAGAGAGAGTGATAAATGAGAGAATGAATGAGAAAGTGATAAATGGGAGAATAAAAGAGAGTGATAAACGTGAAAATGAGACAGTGAGTGATAAACGGGAGAATGCGTGAGAGTGATAAATGGAGATTGAAAGAGAGAGTGATAAACGGGAGAATGAGAGAGAATGATAAACAGGAGAATGAGAGAGAGGGTGATAAATGGGAGAATGAGAAAAACTGATAAACAGGAGAATGAGAGAAAGTGATAAACGGGAGAATGAGAGAGAGTGATAAATGAGAGAATGAGAGAGAGTGATAAATGGGAGAATAAGAGAGAGAGCGATTAAATGGGAGAATGAGAGAGACTGATAAACGGGAGAATGAGACAGAGTAATAAATGGGAGAATGAGGGAGAGTGATAAATGAGAGAATGAGAGAGAGTGATAAATGAGAGAAGGAGAGAAAGAAAGTGATAAACAGGAGAATGAGAGAGAGTGATAAAATGGAGAATGAGAGAGAGTGATAAATGAGAGAATGAGAGAGAGTGATAAACGGGAGAATAAGAGAGAGAGTGATAAATGAGAGAATGAGAGAGAATGATAAACGGGAGAATGAGAGAGAGTGATAAACGGGAGAATGAGAGAAAGAGTAATAAATGGGAAAATGAGAGAGAGTGATAAATGAGAGAATGAGAGAGAGAGAGTGATAAATAGGAGAATGAGAGAGAGTGATAAAAGGGAGAATGAGAGAGAGTGATAAATGAGAGAACGAGAGAGAGTGATAAACGGGAGAATGAGAGAAAGTGATAAACGGGAGAATGAGAGAGAGTGATAAATGAGAGAATGAGAGAGAGAGTGATAAATGGGAGACTGAGAAAGAGTGTGGTAAACGGGAGAATGAGAGAGAGTGATAAATGAGAGAATGAGAGAGAGAGAGTGATGAATAGGAGAACTGAGAAAACACAAATGTCTATTTTGTACATTTTGTGGATAATTTATCCACCAAAATTTTTGCAACGGCGTCATCAAATTTTTGGAGAAAATAAACAAAATAATTCTGATTCTCAGATGTACGATGTTTACAATACTCTTGAAATATTTACAAAATTTCAAAGTAGTCGGTTTTATAGTTTCTAAGTTGGTGTTTAACCTTTTTGATTTTCTTTTGAAAAAATATGCACGTCCAAGGTAAACAGTAAACACGAATTCATAAACCGTAAGTAGGTATAAAATTATTTTATTTTATAAAATTGAAATAGAATTTACTTGGCAAAATTTTGAGATGACGTTATCAAATTGTTGGCAGAGAAAATTAGACAAATTTTGGTTAGCGTTTTGGCATCTACAGGATGATTCATAACAATCAGTCCAGTAGTTTCGGAAACTAAAATTTACAACAGACAACATACAATTGCCCCAGAAAAACATACACTTAAGTGTTTTTGAAACGGATATCACTAGTTTCCTCTAAAATAAAATTGGTTGTGCTTTAAGTAGTATTTAATTTAACGATCTGTCAAAATCTGTTAAACAAATATACTTTAGAATTTAAAAAATATAATCTTGCATTGCGACGTCGCATTCAAATTTTGAGATTCAATATTTTTGTATTTTCGTTTAATTTTTGGGAATTTTCGTAATTCGCAAAATTTTCAAAATTAGCCCAATTTTTCAGATTTACCGAAGTACACAAAATGACCAGAATTTCCACATTTTCCAAAATTTCTAAAATTATCAGGTTCCCGTTGTACCACAATTGTGCAATTCAACCTTTTCCAATACTTTCAACATTTCTAGGTCTACCAAATTTTTCTCACACTTTCTAAATTTTTTCAGATTTTCTAAAATTTATAGATCTCAAGAGTCTATATCTTTGGAATTTTTGGAATCTCTACAGTCTCCAAGATTTATAAAATAATAATTAGGGTGTTCAAGGCCTTCAGTGCTTTTAGGATTTATAAAAATTAAAAAAAGCATTTTTCCGATCTTTACGATTTTTTGGTCTTTAAGATTTTTGTTTTCTTTAAAGTCTTTGGAATTTTTAAAATCTTTGGTATTTTAAGAGTTCATGCGATTTTTACAAGTTTTAGAATCTTTGGCCTTTTGGAATTTCTCTAGAACCTTTAGAATCTTTCAAGTATTCGAAACAGAATTTTAGCTTTTGACCCCTTAGAATTCTTAGAGTCTTTAGATCCTTTAGAGCCTTCCCAAACTATGGAAATATTAACACTTTGGTAATTACTAGGAGTTCTATAAATCCTAAAATTTCTGCAATTTCTAGGATCATTAGCACCCCCAAGTTCTTTAAAATTTATAAGATTTTGTTGGATCTTTTTTATATTTGGAACATTACAACTTTAGTTTATTTAGAATCTTAAGTGTCTTTACAATGCGCAGGTTCTAGTGTATGTAATCCGTGAAAGCTTTTATACTTTTTGAATCTTTCAAACCACTTTGGAATCTTTAGAATCTTTAGAAACTAGAATCACTAGAATTTCTATAATCTTTAGAGCTTTCAGATTTTCATTATTTTTAGATACTTCAGTATCTCTAAAATTTTAAATATTTTTAGATCTTAGGATTTTTATCACCTTTCCAATTTTTAAATATTTGAAATCTGTGAAATCTTCGGATTTTTGGAATCCCTGAAATCCCTTTAGAAATTTTAATTGCCGGCTTTTCTAGCTTTTTTTAATTTTTTTAAATTCCTGAAATCCTTGTAGTCCTTAGAATTTTTGGTATCCTTGAAAGCTTTAAAACCTTTGAAAGGGTTAGAATATTTGGAGGCTTTTTGTTCAGAGAATATGTCATTTGCCGAAATCAGTCTTATCTTAGCAAGTACTAGCCCCGCCCACCCACCCTCTATTTTCTTGGAAGGTATGTGATTCGCCAAAATCAATCGTATCACAGACAGACGACAGACAGGTGGAAACGGGGACCTTCTTTTTCATGATCTACGGGTTACGAAATGTAGAAAAAACATTAAATTAGCCATTTACCTTACAATGGTTCCGTAGCTTACGATCGGGAATTGATGTACGTGATATTTCACCTTCGGTGAGTCGGTTGCATGTTTATTTTATACTCATTTTTGATGCACTACAAACTGGAAACATTGAATGCACCTGTTTGAAATGTTTGTAGTGGCAAATAATACAAGGATGAAGTTCTGATAGATTTTTGTAGCTACAGTAAATATTTTTTACGATATCGCAAATGTTGCAAACAAAGAACAAGAAACAGATGATGCACAAAGCGAGTCGATAGAAAAAGTTCTACCACAACATTTTCCTAGTTTGTAGTTGATAGTCGTCGTAGGAGCGTGCTGGAGTTTTTAAGTCCTAATTTTATTTATTCTTTTCTCGTAACTGAAACCAGAATGTAAAAACGAGATTTTGTCGGTTTTA